ATATGCTGATTTTACATATTACATACTGTGGTGGCGATCGTGCCTACAGGTGATATAATAATTCGGATAAAACTACGGCGTATAATATTATGACAAATTGAGAGACGATTCGCGGGAGTAGGTTCTATTTATTTATGAAAGACCATTGCACAATGATTTGCACGTATCTGCCACGCACAACGTAAAATCACTATTTATACATTATAATATTATGTACAGTATTCCCGCCATATGTGCTCGTGTATTCGAATTAAATTGTAGCACGCCTGCTCGTATTGTTGTGCATACGCCTTATGTTGCTTTCAACGCGATCCATGCACGCACTCCGTATATTTGCAAAAAAATTGTATATCGCGGTGTGCCTAAATAATATATTATTATTACGTAGTAATATTAAACGTCACGCAGGCAGTGGCTGAACGCGAATTTTCGAGTAATACATAATTTAAAATGTACACCTACAATAAAAGTAAACATTGAACGGGTATACAATAACAAATTATAATAATTATTAGTTTATTACATTCTACGCGTAGTGCGTTTTCGATATTGGTATATTGGTATACGGCCGTAGTATTAAAATAATTTCCAGAGAGTCATTTGATGAGTTAGTGTGTGTGTGTGTATGTGAGTTTGAGAGGGGGAATAGTCTTAGAAATATTGATGATTATTGATCTACTATAAACTCCGTTGTCATAATTGACTTATATACTATGTATTAAAATGTAACAAAGGAATATTAATTTAAAATATATTTTTGTAGTGTGTTATACGCTGAGGACTGCAGCGAATTGAATGCACTGAAAAACTTTAAAAGAAAAAAATAATTTAAAATACATTTTTGAGTTGTTTATAAGTACCTAATTCAAACATTATTATGTTAAAAAAAAAACTCGTGAAATGAAAACAAATCATATAAAATGATCTTACCAGTAAAGTTATTGCTATAGTTTATAATGTTTATATTATTTATTAGTGTTTTTTAAATTTTAATTCTTTTCAATTGATAGCTATTTGAAAAGTACATTGGTTAACATAAATAATAATTGCTATCAGGGTTTTAAAAATAAATGAAAGATTATATTTTTCTTATCTACATTTAAATATATTCCAGAGGATCAAAAAAGTTTGGAAGCTCTTAATTACTGAATGCATATTTGAATATCAAAACATAGAATAATAACAGATAATATTACTGTACATTTTTTTTCTATGTTTAAAAAAAAGTATATTCACTATTGTCAATTTGTAATATTATTATGATATGCAATAAGTGAATTTGGTAGCTTAAGATAACAACATGAAATATTATGAGAAGGGTAGCCCACCAGCGTGGAAACCATTTGACTTGGAAGGGAAGTTGTACATTAATAATGTAAAATATTTAATAATATCATTAATTATTCCATGTTATCATTTATAAGTCATAATTAATGTAATAACTATTTCTAAGCTTTTTGAACATGCTGTATGTATAAATGTCTCGATGAAAATGTACAACCTGTCTGCCTTATAAAGTTGGCATACTAAAAAAAAAAACATTGACTTTATACCTCTGATAATTAAATCAGCTGTAGGTATACATCATGATTTTATGTAAGAAATATCATAATAATATGATTTGTTATTATTATTTTTAAAATAAGCGGTCTCAAAAAACACATTGCTTATAAGTAATATTACTAAAAACAGTAATAACGTGGTATCTATTATTATATTATTGTCAAATTTCTTACATACTTATGTCTTATATATAATTACGTTACCTACGTATAACAGATTTGCCAGGTTTGTAACAAATGGTTAAGGTGTATTTTTGTCTATATATATTACATAAGGATATAAAAGTTTTATTATTATCGTCGCGATTGTTTAACAATGAGCGTATTTAAGATTCGTTGCACAACAGGTAAACCCGTTGTGCGTGCCACATGTTTTAGGCATTGTTGTTTTCCAATAGGCATCATATTATTATTTATTATTACATTTTATTATTTTAAACCGACGTTACTTAAGTATTAGTAAAATTATGTTTGTGTGTATATGTGTATTAGTCAGAATAAATGGAATAAAATTGAAACATGAAAATATTGTTTCGGTCAGTTTGAATGAATATATAAAATATTGTAAAATAATCTTGCCATTTTTAACATTTAAATTGTTAAAGTAGGTAAAAGAAATTATGATAATAATGATAATTATTATTATTATTGAATAACATGGGTATTAATTAAACTTTGTTTTAAGTGTGAATAGTGACAATTAACGATTGGAAAACTTATAAAAAATATTTTTCATTTAAACTATTAAACAATAATGTTATATTTTATAGGAGTATGAGTGATTATAGATTAACTTTCATCAACACATTTTTTAAACACTCAAAAATTAAACATTCTCAAACATCATTAATACAAAAAATGTTAATTTATCGTTACACCAATATTTTAAAAGTATTTTATTCTTTTCATATTTTTATAACTATTATTTGAAAAGTATAATCTGTAGTTACAGTTACAATAAATATATGAGAGAAGATAAAAATGTGCATGCAAGACATAGATACTTGAGAGGAGTAGCTACTCAGCGGTAACATGACTTAGACGTGATAGAACATAAATATTATGAAATCATATCATTGAGATGTAGAAGGAGCAGAGAATCATACGTTGATGAGTGATGACACTCCATAGCTTGAGAATATATTGTTGATAATTTGTTAATTTATCAGTTAGTCTCTACACAATTGCACCATTTACGTATGAGCCTTTTGAGAGGATTTTCATGGTTGGACGAAGAGGAGATATTGTACATAAGTAGGTTTTATGATGTAGAAAGCAAGTATGAAATCTTTTACAATATGTTTTAATATATAATTATTTGACATTGTTTTTTGTGAAAATAAAGATGCAGATGTGGATAATATTTATACAAAACATTTTACTTAAAAACGTTTCCATTTCTATATGAAAACCATAGTCTTCACTCCTCTACTATATACTTGCCTTTTATAGTAATATGTATTTTCTTGGCATTCTGCAAACGTCATAAATTAGTTGTAACTCATATATTTAATAATTGTAATAATCGACAAGGTTATAGTACTCTTCTGTATATAGTTTATATATTATTAAATACATACAAACTACAGATTCAGATATATACCATGTTACGGATCAGTGGGATCGAATTTTTAAAGTAATAGTAATTACCGACCCACTCTGTTTACCTTAGACGGTCGTCGCGCCGTCGCCGTCATCGATATACAATTTAATATAATATTATTATATAACATTGGTTTATATTATTATATATTATGTTGGTTCCAGTTTCGTGCACACTCCGCGAGACCCCACGTATTTTATCGATTGGTTTTTAAAGACCATTCAGTTTCTACAACAGTATTATTATAGGTTTACGTATAATATCGTGTATGATGATATGTATGTATGAATGTGTACACTATGTATAAATTATATAAATAATTTATTTTTTTAGATAAAAAGAGATCATTAAACATAATTAAATATACAATTCGACGAATACAATACTTTCTTTTATATAACTTTTATATTACACTTATAATTGTTAACGTATAAACGTAACAAAATTTGTTTTAGTTTAAGCTTTTTGTTTGTAAATTCGTGACGTAATATATATATTATACAAAAAATCTTAAACTTTCAAATAGGTAAAAATCACATAAAATAGATTATCTAGTTAAATTTGCTCATAAAAAGAAAAAAAACATTATAAATGATATATCTATAATTGGACGTGATAAATAGTTAAGCTACTATATATCGGTTAGAAATAAAGTTTTATTGAAAAAAAAAGTAAAAATATTTATTATTATTTGCCACATTAGGTTAAAATAAAATTAGTATACGAAATCTCCACAAAAAATGTTTTCACGACAATATGTACCTAAATTGCCTAACTACGACGCCGTGTGATCATTATTTGAAATTTATAAAATATAATTGTATCACATTTATGAGGCTCAGAAAAATTAGGTTTAATTATATTACTTACACTATAATAAATTAAATAAAGAAACATAATAAAGTAAATAATATGAGTATATATGTTATAGACAAAGTGGATTTCCGGGGATTGTACATTTCATCCGGCCATTTTTAGGCAATTTAAATAATATTATTTAAACTTTTCTATATATTTTCAATTTATTCAATTGAACGTAGATAATATGACATTTTATAAGTATTTGTGCATCTAATTCATGTTATACAGCTGTGTAAAAATCGTATGAAAAATCAAAAGAAATATCAAATTTTATAAATTTTTCATAATGTTGATAATCTATATTGAAATAAAATAAAAAAATAAATAAATTGGTCATTTCTGCTAAAATAATGATTGTATTAAAAAAAAAAAAAATTATGTTTATATGTATGTTTAATAGAAAACTATAAAAAAATTTGAATAAACGTTTTTCATCTATACAAAAATTTTAAGTTTGTAAAATCAATATATCATTATTTTAAACTGAAATCAGAAAAAACCAATATGGTTATAAGCATAATTAAAATGAAAAATGAAAAATTTTATTTAGACTTCAAGTTCTGGCAAATAATATTGTGATATAATATTGATATGCCTATATTGAAATATAGGTAAGTATACCTAATATTAAGGTAATAGCAGGAATATCCAGACATTTTTTTCTGTTGATCTAATAAAATTAATTAAGTATAATTGTATACACATAATATTAATTTTATTTGATATTGTAATATCTAATAAGTTGAAATTAAGTTTATCCTTGATACATATAAACATAGGAATATTAGAATAGGTAGAAAACATATTGCTAATCTTGCGATAAAATAATCAGACTGTAGTAAAATAGTAATTTGTGCTACATAAGATAATAATGCGACAATAGAATAGCATAAGATATAAATAAATGTCAGTTTAAAAAACTCAGAATATCGCGATGTGAACGTGAGGGAGAGTCACGCGTTGTTGTGCGTCAATTAGAAATAATAAAACTTGGGCGTAACAGTGACGGGAAATCCGGCGTTGAAAAATATTCGTTTCCGTTCATATATAGTGCATTGTTGCAACTAGAACAGTTGTTATTATTATTATTTAAGCGCATTTATTTTATCGAGTAGGTACTGGACGAAAATAGGACGCAAAAAATCTCGATTTTCTAATGGGTTAGGATTCGTTGTGGACAATTATAACAAAATATTGATAGTAATAATTTAAATAACCATTTGACAAAAATGAAATTATCATAATACATATTAATTAAAGTAGCTAGAGCAAAAATTTTGGAAAATAGGAAATTTATTATGTATGGAATTATGTGTATTTAAATGAATTGAGTATATACTAACGAGAGTTCAAGTGAGAAAGCTAAAATCACTTAAAATTTTAAAACATTAAATGTTTTTTAATAAAATTGTTCTAAAAAATATAATAAATTCAAACATATACATATAAAAGTGTAATCGAACACTGGAAAGTAAATAAACCAACCTTTTCTACGTAGTGGTCTAAAACCATAAAAATTAGACGGTACACTCTACAGTCTTGAATATATATTTTAACGTTGCTATTTTATAAATGAAGGTTATTTCCTTATGACCACGGCATGTTCTTTGAAAGATGAATAAACAAAAAATTAATTTGATTCTTTAAAGTGGAATAATAACCTAGTCAAACACCTGTTGATTCGATAAACACACACACAGACACTATAGAAAATGCTTAAGGATATGAAAACTCTAAATAAACAATTTAACACTAAGGTCTTAAACTTAAAAATAATACTATGAACTAAAATTCATAGTTATAAGATTTAAAATAATTAAAAAAAAATAAAAATATTTTCAAAAACATTAATAATTTTTAGGTAATGACTAATGAATATCTTACATTAAATGGATCTTCTAGTTTATTATATGTGTGCACTATACTGATGTTTTACACTATTACAATAGTATCGTAATACGTGTGCGTTTTAATTTATTATTTTCATGATAATTTTTTAGTTATTTTTAGAATATTTTTCATATCAATTTCCAATGGGTTATGCATATATATATTTTTTTTATCGATTGAACAATATTTAATTATAAAACTCAAGTTTTAAATAGATTGTTTTATTAAAAAATATTAAACAAATTGATTATGCATTTGTTTATTTTTCTTAAAATTCTATCTTGCTGCGTGATTGATAATTCAACTAAATAAATCATTAAATTTATAAAACGTTAACTTTAAAAACCAAATTCTAACAACAAAATAGTTATATAAAAACTATAATTAAAGTATTAACAGTTAACTTAAAAGTGAAGTGTTATAATCAACTTCTTAAATATAGTTAGAGTGGCACGTAGTTACAATTATATATAGGTACTATATACATACACTTAAATTCACTTATAACGATTTTCAAAGAACCCAGAAAATCTGATCATTTTAACCAAACTTCGTTATATCCGGATTATAAATATTAACTTGATTTAAAAAAAAAAAAAATTGATTTATTTAAACACATTTTTTACTATATAATTTTAAATAAGATTACATATTTTAACATTAAAGCTATTTATAATTTTTAGTAAAAGTACACATATGCATAGTACATATATGTTTACAATTTTTTTGAAAAATAATCTGTTATAGTGCTTTGTTTATAATTTAAATAAGATTTTTTAACAAAATTAGAAATATTTTTTAATGCCATCGATACTTCTGGCGTATTTACATCACTGTTTACCGAAACAAAAGTACGTACTTGATCAATATAAAAATACATTTCCGAAACAGACGGTACTTTAAATACGATTTCTTCACTCTCTTCGTCAGCTTGTTCACTTTCATCATTATTTGCATTCAAAATAGACTTGAAAATTTCTTCTTCATTGGGTTCTTCAGTGGTCAAAAGAGCATCGTCAACCTCGATAAAACTTTGTAAGTTTTTTTCGGAAACGCAATGTATGTCCAAATTATTGTCATTTACTATTTCTTTTTCTATCTCGTCGTTTACCGATGCCTTGAGTCCAGCGTGGCGGAAACAGTTTCTTATTGTAGTGGTAGAAACGTCATTCCATGCATCAGAGATCATTAAAATTGCATCCAATACTGAAATTTTAATATCTTTTCCCTGTTCTTCTCGATTAATAACTTTGAGTACTAATAATTTCCGAAATTTTACTTTTAATGATTTAATAATACCTTGATCCATAGGTTGTAATACAGAGGTCGTGTTTGGAGGAAGAAAAACCACCTTTATAAATTCGATATTTTGAACAAGAGGATGAGCCGGACAATTATCTACAGTCAATAGGATATGCCGTTTTTCCTTTGCCAGTTGTTTATCCCATTCTTTTATCCAGTTGGAAAATATGTCCCCGGTCATCCATGCTTTTTTATTACTTTTGTAGTCGACTGTCAAGTTTTTGACATTATTAAAACATCTCGGACTTTTAAATTTTCCTATTACCAACAATTTTTTTTTCTCAGAACCCGTCATGTTAGAGGCTACAAGAACCGTGAATCTCTCCTTAGATAATTTACCATCACTGCATGTTTCCCCTTTAAAATGTAATGTATGAGACGGTGTTAGACGAAAAAACAATCCGGTTTCATCAGCGGTATAAATGTCACAATCTGCATAATTTTTACGCAAATTAGGCCAAACGTGTTCCAGCCAATTTTCCGAAACATCAACAGAAGCGCTTGTAGATTCTCCATTTATTTTTCCAAAAATGATATTGTGTCTTTGACGAAAACGGGTAATCCAAGAAGAAGAACATTGAAAATCTATTTTATTAAAACGTTTCCCAAATTCGGTCGCTTTTTCTTGAAGTATCGGACCATTTACAGGAATATTTTTAGATCGTTGTATTTTGAGCCATTCCAGGAGAGCATGTTCAACGTCTTGATGTTGGCTACATTTGATTCTCTTGTAAGATGTAACATCTTTTTGAAAAACACTTTTTATTTGGTCCTTTGATTTCCATATAGTAGATAGTGTTGATTGACTGATTCCCAGCTCTTGACAAAGATCTTTATTAGAAACACCACTTTCTAAACGTTCAATTATTTTTACCTTTTCAGCGATAGTGAAACAACGTCGTCTTTTATTTGACATTTTAACTTATACGAAACGTGTCTAAACGAATATAAATCAAAACGGTCACTTAGAAATGTATGCCATATACAATATACGTATCATACAAGATACATTATCTGTTACAGATAAGATTAAGAATCATCGCTTAAAACGAAATCAAATTTACTACATGTGCATATTGTATTATTAATAATTGCTATAGACGAATATAGCATCCATTTTCATTTAAAAATAACATCGCTATATCCGGATTATATTATCGTTGTAACCGATATCATTATATATGACTAAAAGTAATACACATAAAATATAAAACCAACCAAATACATTGCTTGAAATCATACAGATTTTGACTTAAATACAGCTGTTTGGTATAGTTTTATAACAATATTAAATTAAAAACATTTATATTGTTAGTGTTGAAAATAAGTGGTTAAAATATATACCTATTGTTAGTGTTAAATAAACAAAAATATTTTTTTTTGCTCGTTGACTTAATTTGAAATAATTTGATTTTAGTGCAATAAATACAAATCTCATTCGAAATCAAGTACATAATTATATATTATTACTTATAAGTTATAAAAACTATTGGTGAAAATTAGATATTCGAACAAATGTATGTTATCGATGTCTTTGTTGAACAGTTTCATTAGCTATTTTGATGAAATGTTTTTGACCAACTGTCCTAGATCCGACAAGACGTGCAGCATAATATTATTATGGACTGTGTGCGGTGGCGTAGTCGTCGACCGGGTCGATACGCGAACTGTGGTTGTCGCGCACTTTTGCCGGGACGGGGCGGGGCGCTCAAAGTCCGGCGGTTCGCAGCGATCGCCCCGACAGATGGCTGACGCGAAATTATACACTGCAGGCGGCGACGCACTACGCTACACTCGACAGTTGTTTGTTTTGCGCGACCGGCTGGTACGGCGGGCACGATCGCTCGCCCGCTCCCCCCCGAGGGAGCGTTTCCAATTTAATTTCCTCGAAAACTCATTTGCGCCGGTGGACGGTCGCTGATACGATCGCTCGCGCGCGCGCGCGCGACTGTCGGGAAACCTATACGGGGTGATTCACCCAACATGCTGGTCTCGATATTTATTCCATCAATAATAAATGTATGCAAATTCTGATATTTTTAATTTTTAATGTACTGACTTAGAAAACATACTTTTAAGTTTTTGAGGTTTTTCGTATTACTCGAGCAATGTTCTGTTACGGTAAAAACTTACGTTTCACAAACAAAAACTTCGCTTTTTATTGTAAATTACTTAGTGGATAAATGTTTTGAAAATGTTGATGTATCAACCTATAGTTTAATATTCAAATTAATAGTTTCTCAACTATCATAATGTGTACACTATAAATAGTAATAGTCTTTAAATTCAATTTCACAAAAACATAAAATAGATGTTTGAGTTTTAATTTTTATACGTTAATTTTTTCGGTCAAATAATGTGTAGTAGAAAAAAAGAAGGTTCTTATTTAGAAATTAAAAACTTATCTTTTTATAATATAACATTCTTTATCAGTATAAACAATATTAAAAATTTGAAAACTTAATATTTAAGTTTATTTAAAAATTCCGAGAATCAAATGTTGTATAACTGTATTATTGAAGAAAAATGGGGTAAATATAATTGGTCGATTATTCTGTAGAATTTGCCTACATTAAATACGACATTTGATTTGATTAACAAGCAGATAGATATTATTTGTAACATAATTATAATTAATAAATAATTGTTATTTTTAATATAATTATAATAATGTTTTATTCATAATCGTTCTTAATTTAAGCGCAGCGAGATGATCAACTGATAACCAGTCTCGTTTCATATTGCTAAGCATATATTTATTACTAATGATTTAAGATGGAATATCGTTGTAAAATAGTTAATTTGTTAGTATTAGTTATTAATAGTATTAATGTAATAGTATATTCAACTATAACTAATAAAATATATGCCTAAAACGAATTTATTTAACTATAGATAAATTATTCACTTGAGTATAGATACTTAGGCATAAGTATACGAGTATACTAGGTTATAAAATATATATTTTTAAAATTGTATTTTATTGTTAAAACAAAACGTTTAGAAACCGGTAATTTAGTATGCTCTTAGAATGGATAACTTTTTTTTTGGTGTTCAGTTTTTATTACACTCTCAAAAGTTGTTGAAAACAATTAAACAATTTTATATCCGTATATATTATTTTTTTAGTATTATCATGATAAGATATTTTAACGTTCTCATCTTTTCTTCACCCTAATCCAAAATAAAACTAGTTAGCATCATAATGGTCAAAAGATGGAGTTACAGTTTACAGATTCTATTTATATCAGTCATGGTAGAAAAATATCTAATAGACTGATATAAAATACAAAAAAAAACTTCAAACTCTATTCGTTTATAAAGCGGAGAACATTTCAAATTTTAACAAGAACCAATTTAGTTCAGCCTTAAATATCTAAATTTAAACGAAAAAAAATTTATGTTGTCAATATTATCATTTATTGTGTAGGTATACACAACATAAAAATGCAAACAAACATTTGTAATAAACAGTGATATTTAAAATAGTGAAATCAATGAATCGATTTTTCGAAAGAGTAGTTACTATGTTTTCATGTAAGGTTTTATATTAATACATCTATCTAAACTTTATATAAAACAAATTTTTAAATAAAATAAAATTATCGGATTTCTATCTGTGTCTTTAACATATTGCGTATACATGTATAATGATAAACGTACCTAGTGATAACTATGTTTTGTGAATTTAAAATATATTTTGTTTATAAATGGATACTTAAAACCATTCATGGTTAATAATTAAAAAAACATCTTGGTTTAATATTTTTAAAATAAAATAAATACAAGTAGGCATATCTTACAATCAAATAACATATTATGTATTTCGTAAATTCTGCTTATATAAACAATAAACCGAGATAGAATTTTTAATTATTGATTTATAGTTAATTGTCATATGAAATATATTTTGATTAGATTGAAATAATTTTGTAAATAATTAAAAATAAATTAAAATAATATGCAAATGCATCAAATTCTCGTCGTTGTTAACAACGAATCAAATAAATGTGTTTTTTCGTTTTTGCAATCATAACTCTATTATAAAATATATTATGCGTTCAATGCACATCTGCCGGAAAAAAAAATAAACGACTTACTGTCACGATATGTGCGTAAATACGAACAATAATGAATATAAATACAATTTAGCTGACCGCATCAAAACACAATATTATGATAATGTTTAGGGAAAAAAAATCGTTAATTTCGTCTCCTTGCAGTTGTTCGTTCTTATTCAAAATTATACCGAGATTGCTATGCAGACGCGTATAGCTGTGCATGGGTGAATAGTGGAGTGTGAGGGTTTGATATCGAATGACGGGGGGAACTAAAATACTATAACGCGTTTTTCGAGTAATACACTGTCCTTAATAACTCACTGCAATTGCCGTGCATTATAAATATTACGCCGACCGGTTCGAATGAAAAAACTGAGTAATTAGGTATGATTCGTATAATATATATATATATATATGTACAGTCGTTTTGGTATATTATACCGCCCTCTTCGTCGACTGGCGATCATGCGATGTTTAATATTACATTATTACATAGCCGTCGGCGGTGACGAGTCTGCAGTCCGGCGCCAGGGTTAAAGTGCACGAACGACCGCTGCCATAGTATGTACCAAGTTAACGATCATAGAACCTCTTTGCAGCCGACGAGTAACCACAAAAATAATTGTGTCCACAATCCAACAAACACTGTCCGCGATTATTATAACGAGTTTGTGAAATAATGTTATTGTAACTTGGCTCGAACTTATTATTACGATGCGCTTCAAAAAAGTATTACAAAAATGGCAAATTTTTAACTTGTTAAAAAGTGTTTGAGCCATGTTGAAAATGTTTTAATAAACCTTTTATTTTTTTCACTTTTGCACCTTAGTGCATATTCAAAGACATACTTAACTGTTCACAACGGTTTTAAAATCAAAGCAGTACAGTAATTATCTTCAAAACGCAATTTTAGATTGAACTTAAAATAATTGTTACATTCAAATCCTTTATTTTTTTCACCATTATTTTCTCAAGAAAGAAAATGTGCCACTTGAAATGTTAATAATGATTTAGTAGGTGAATACATCATATATTTATTAATAATCATGTTGTGTTCTATCGTATAAATGGATCAATTTTTGATGGTTCTATTAAGAGTTCTCCCTTTTCATGTAATTATTAAAAAAAAAATCTTAGTAACACTTTATAATTGTGCAATAATTAGGTAAATATGTATTTAAAAAAAAAAAATAATTGTAAATCATGATAAGATGCAACATTTAAAAAAATCAAGATAAGAATCCAAAAGGGGTTTTTTTTACGTATAGAAGTGTATAAATGATCTTAAAAATTAATTGTTCGACTTGAACGTTAAACAGTGACAGATTACGGTTACGTATGTTTTATGGGAGGGGGATATTATGAATAAATTATATTTTGATAATTCTTCTATGGAATTTGTATTTTTATGCAAGAGGACACTAAAGATAATGATCTGGGGGCCTTTGGTAGGTTAGACTGAAACTACTATCATTCACCCTAAACATAGCGTGATTTCGCCTTATGGCGAATAAAATGATGAATTCGGTTCGCTATTTGACACTTTTTCGTATTGTAACTAAAATTGATTTTTCCTGCACGCATAATAATAGGTATATTTTAATAACTTGCAACGTACAATGTATATAGTCATACAGTGATATTGGACACTGGACAGCGATGCCCGAAGGGTTTCAAAGATCTCTTTAAATTAATATTAAATATTACTTATATTATTATCAAGTTTTTTTGTTCAACGCGTCATAGGTTGAGATACCTATATATTAATATTGCGCGCGAGATTCTGACTAGGTGGTCTCCCGCGCCTCGGGAGAAAATCGTATTTATATCATGTCGCAGGTGTGCTCTTATATAA